CCTAAACCTATCACCCGAACTTGCCTCGCGTACCTTGAAGGCACTTTTATGCACTGAAAGGCCGTCAGTCAAGCGACTGATGTTTTGAGTCGCGTACTCTGGACATGCAAGTCTGCAGGTCCCATCATCAACCGAATGCCATAGCGGTTTTTCTAACAACAGGTAGCCTACCGTGAACATGTAGTTTCCGACACTGGGATTTTTCCTGACTCTGAAAAAAATCGTCAACACCGCAATCACAAACACACGTTTAGTTCTCTCTAGGATTGGCTTTCTGTTGTCCTGGTTTCATCTACGGTTTCGCTAACATTACGCTTCCTCGTAGCAGCTTGACGGAATGGGGATTCTCTTCCGCTGAGACAAGAGAGTGCTCGCAAACATTTTCATCCCTCATAGATACCTTCAAATCCACAACCATCCTCGCACTCTCCAACGGAAAGATTCAGAGTTCGCCGTCCATCGTGGAGGCGGACATTAGCGGATATGCCATTGGCCCGGTCCTCAGGCAATCCAAAGCAGGCGAACCCAAACATGTGACGCCGTTACAGCACCATGGAACGAATGATTCTTGTCACTCTGTCACCAAATTCCAGCATAGATTTGTGATTAAACGATTTGTTGTCCGCAGAATCATCAGGCGCTTAGACGGCTTTGTGATTGGGGGTCAAAAACAGACCGTCAGGTGGTGAGAACTGCTCGAGGAGCTCGACTCCGAAGTGCAGTATCGTTTTGATGACCACCACAACAATACTGATGCTTCGTCCCGCCAACCAACTCTGACGAGGATTCCGGGCATTGATTTCTTCGTTTCGATTATTTACGTTTCGCAGAACACCCTAGAGCTGTGCACATAGATTCAAGTTTTCGATTCCATTATTACTATCATTTATGACCGAAAAAAGTGCGAATTCCCATACCCAATGCTCGCGAGCCGAGAAGTCCCTTGTTTCTGGTTGGTGCTGCTTTTTCGCCGTCTGATCGATAATATCTTAGTTGTTTGGCAGCATCCCTCTCTGCCTTTACATTTGGTTGTCCCCTACATTCTTAGACGCCAGATGCCCTGCGATACTCATGAACAAAGATGCATTGCGTGCAGGCTAAGACTTGCGTCACGATGGATCAGTTAATTTAGCGATTTGAGCAGCAGTGCGACGTGGTCACCCTCTGTCTGACATGTCATACCTTCGCTCAAACCAAAGCCTCCGTTGTTTATTCCACTGGCGGGCTTTTGAATTTAAACCGCCATTTTTGTACCTTTCCATTCACTTGTGGATTTTTACCAACTGTACATTACTGTGCCTATTTCCCTTCGATATATTTAACTGTTTCGCATCTCTTGTTTGTCTGAACTAAGATTATGCGGTCGTCTCTGCAGTACGCTAGCACCCTTTTGAAGGGAATCAAATCGTCAGTCTCATTTACGAATGATCATGATGCAAACTTTTGCACTTTTCGGCCACTATGTCGTTTTTGCGATCGTTCTGTGTTGAATTTATCAAACTTTCGTCAACAACAGCCTATTCATCTGAAAAACACCGGTGTGGCTGGTAGCTCGCATTCAAACGTCAGCCGAAGTATAAATTGTCAATTCCTGCCTTCTTGTCGATAAACTGTCGTGCTATTTTTAACACGGTCCTACCTGGCCTATCACGCAATCACTAATTTCTCCACTTCCTTCACTCACAACATTATGCTCCTTGCCCGTGACATGTATTTCCACTCTGAATTGGCTGTGACGTCTCAAGCGCGTTAAAGCCTATTACCTCTGGCAATTGTGCTGTGGTAGGAATTACGTGGTCACGGCTTCTGGGTGTCCAAGACATGTGCGCACCCATTTCCGTGGACAGTGAATCACAGGCACCCACAAACTCTGGAATCATCCTATTAATTCATTAGGCTGACACTAACTGACTTACAGATGATACTTGTTAATTAGTAACCATACCGCCCTAACGTGCGGACGCTCACACAGGCTCAGAATCCGCTGGATGGCAAGAACTCTGACCACCGTATTGTTTTGTGCAAAACCCTGCCGACACCAGCCCCGCCAAGCCCCCCAGATATGGCGGAGCTGGACTGGGCTGCAAGGTAGACATCCGGGGCTGTAGGGTGGCATACAACCACCACAAGAAAATTGTACAGGGGACGCCTCCTCGTCGTCACTTTTGGCACCCCTTAACGATAGTGATTTTCGCGTTCACAGCGCATCCCCGTGAGACAGCACTGTATTACTCTTAAATGTGGCATATCGTACCCCAAATGACGTCTTATTCCAGATGACTTCACCTTTAAACTAGAATAGTATAAAGGCGTCCTGTGCAGTTCACATTATTTCGATTAGTGCAATAGACACTATTACATACTAAGAATATGATTATTTACTATATGCAAACAAGTAAAAAGTTGGTGAACATAATAATAATAATTTTTATTAAAGACCCGTTGGGGTCCAATCAAAACAAGTAAAAATAAATTTACGTAGACTTTTAGACGAGGTAGGCAAAATCCGTACAAAATGCAATTCATAGTTCCTGAATTTGCAGTCCATTTAAAAAATGACTAGCGACGGGTGAAAAAAAATTCCATACAAAAATTCAAAAAGGATTGGATTAATTTACAATAGAAAAAAACTCAATAAAAAATGATAACAGAAAAATGCGGGCAGGACTGACCTGTATGTGGCGGTATATAACGGATTATAATCGGACATCCTCAGGGCAGAAATAAATGTCAGCCTTGAGGGGTACGTATATGGGTCAGACAGGACTGGCCTGCATGCGGTATTGTATACGGGATTCACAACTGACATCGTCTGGGCAGGATTGATACGCCGGTTGAGACTATTTGCGTGAAAGAGGCTAGACGAGAGGAACCCAGATGCGATCGGCCACAGTACGCTACGAATCCACCCGAGGAGGATAGGGCGAATACTGACGCTTCAGCTGTGAGCGTCGACAGACCGCATGAGGTTGGAATGCGGGAGAGGACATCAAGAACCCATAGTCGCTATGGGGCAAGAGTGATAGCAGTGGATTTAGCAACCAATGAAAAATGCGACTACTAATAATATAATTGAGGGTTTCCACTTGATCTACCACTAAATCCTAGGAGGACCCTTCTCTAAATCAAGAGCCTTAGTGTTCGGGAATGAGACTGTTAGCAGTGCGTTTATGCTTTCCGGTGTAAGACGTTTGCGTAATTTCGACTTGAATACCAGTAATTTAGACGATGATCTAATTTCAGGCGGAAGATTGTTCCAAAGGAAAGTATATTTGGAAGCAAAGAAGAGGGAACGCTTAGATGTAGTGCAAAGAGGCGGCGGAATCACCATGCAGGAGTTGCGCGTGGCATAAGACCGATCTCTCGGAGTGAGAGTGTCAATGTGCGGAAGACTGGAGCAAGAGTTGATGCGAAAAAGGAAGCAAAGGCCAGCTTCGAGTCTTCTAACCCAAAAAACTTCATGTTCGCCAGCTGACATCTCTGAGTATAAGAAATACCGGACGAAGCTTGAGAGAACAGTTTCCGGGTGAAATCCCTCTGAACATTTTTGATCTTATTGCGGTCACAGGCGTTCATTAAACCAAAGAAAGGATGGCAGTATTCGAGGACTGGAAGAACAAACATTTTATAAAGTTTTAGCTTCATTTCAGGAAGGAAAAAATTATGCGATATGAATCCACATATCTGCGCGGCTTCGGCAGAGATTCTATCTGCATGAGGTGATAAAGCAAGCTTATTAGTATAACTTAGACCTAGGTCATTTATGGTGAGGCATTCTGAGAGTGGGTTATTCTGAAAAATTATGGCAGTAGGAAGTTTGGCTGGACCAAAAGACATGAAACTGCACTTGGGTGATGAAAACTCCATCTGCCATGTCGAACCCCATCTGCTTAAGCGTGGTAAATCGGCATTCATTTTTTCAACACAAACATTTGTGGTGTCCATAGAACATGAGTGAACACACTTGAAGTCATCGGCATAAGTAAAAATTTGCGAATTTCCGAGTTCAGTCGAAATAGCATTGACGTACAGAAGGAAGAGTAGCGGACCCAGAACCGTGCCTTGAAGTACGCCACTCGTGATCGAGTGAGGCGTCGAGTAGCATTACCGACCATAACTTTCTGATATCGATTGGACAGATAGGACCTGATGAAGTCGAGTAGAGGCGGCCGAAAGCCGAGAGCTTCTAATTTCACTAAAAGACGTCTATGGGGCAACTTTTCGAAGGCTTTACTAAGATCAAAATAGATAACTACCACTGACTGCCGCTCATCAAGAAAATAAGTGATTAGATTAAGAAATGACAGATGGCAAGTTTCGCAGAATCGTTCAGGTAAAAATCCATGCTGATTAGAGCTCAGAAGCCGATTGGCTAGACAGAAGTCAAAGATTTCGTAGAAAGCCTTCGTAGATTTCGTAGAAGAATGACACACTGCCTTTCCTGGATATTCTTTTGCGTGAGGCGGGCAGATGGCTCTATTCAGAGATCCATCTATCGAAAACCCACCTGGAAAGGACAATACATGCACTTCCTCAGTTTCGTTCCAATTCAGAGAAAACGGAACTTGGTTTTGTGCCTGTTCAATAGAGCCACTAGAATTTGCTCCTCAGATACGATCGATGACGAGCTTACTTTCCTAAAGAATGTTTTTCTTACAAATGGCTATCCGGAGAAATTCATCGATAAATATCGCCATCCCAGACAGGAAACTCCTGAAGAAATATCTGTACCTAAAAAGCCTGTGACCATCTACCTCCCCTTCAAGGGTGATAACGTGTCAAACATGATCAAGCGACGACTTCGGTGCACTATCAAAAGGACGTATGCCGCCTCTAAATTGTTGTTCATAGGCACCACAACCGCCATCCCAGTTAGACCGGCTAAAGACATTTTGCCTATGTACGCCACATCAAACTGTATTTATGAGTTTACATGTAGTTGCGGATGCAAGTACATTGGGCGCACGCAAAGGCAGTTGGTAGCTCGGTCAGCTGAACACATGCCGAAGTGGCTGCTTAAGGCGGAAAATAAGGTACCCAGGAGCTCAATCACAAAGCACCTAGTGGACACGGGCCATACGGTGGACCCAATGGTTGCATTCAAGGTCCTGTTTCGGGCGACGACCGGGCGTCTCTTGCGCTTTGCAGAGGCCGCTGCAATACGGAGGAGGAAACCAGAACTCTGTAAGCAGCTGGACCATGTGATAAACCTGGCACTGCCATGGTAATTATCGATTATGGACGAAACCCTGTCTCCATGTGCGCCTTCTCATTTCGCCCCCACCCGCCCCCCTCTCCCCGGCATGACTGAATGCTCCCCGCACGTTGCACTCTAAATCACGCCGCACAAGTTCTCTCATACTTGGACGACTTCTCTCCCCCTCCCCCTCCCCCCTAGCCATATGCACCCGCATACTAGACCCTGCTTCAGTTTACCTATCACGTTTTATCTCTCTAGGTCGATCGTTGATTGAACAGTTTGCCTTGTCATATAACTATGCAATGAACGTGTGCAGCTGAATGAGAGGTCCCGAAATTTATGACGTCAGTAAATTCTGCGTGCTTTGTCGCCTTTGCCTTGTTCAAATTTACCCCGGGAAAACATTGTTTTAATTTCGTATAAAATATTCCTTTCAAGAAGCTTTGCTAGAGACGGTGTTTCGGGCACGCCGCTATGATTATTAACATCGAATCGGGATCCTGACTTCAAGACGGGAATGATAATTGACATTTTCCATGCTTCAGCAAAGAATCCTTTAGAAATATACACCGGGAATTAATGACTAAGCAATATGGGAATGTCGGACGCTTGTTTAATAATCGAATTTGGGATCTCGTCCGTTCCTTATCAGTGTGAGTATTTAAAAATACATATGTGTTTCTTAATGAGATCTGAGGAGACATCGATCGTACTCAGTGTATTATCTGAAAGTGAACGAAAGAAAGGGGCCGGTTCGGACTCTGTATTAAGGTATTTTGCAAGGAAAGCATTAAACAACTCGGCCTTGTCAGTGTTATCGATGAGGAAGACTTTGTTATCATTTAGCAGGGGTGGAAGTTTGTGACCACGCTTAGAGGAGGACCGATGACGGAAGATGTTAGCGACGGATTTGCCAGGGTTTGAGTCACTGAGGACAAGCGATTCTCGTTGTCTGTCGCGCGCTTGGCGCTTCCAATGCTTATGAGTCCATGGAGTCATTGTATGGACGCGTATTTTTAAATATATACTCATCTTCCATTGCTGGTTCCTATAGAAAAAAATCTTTAAGCTTGTGCAGAAATAAAAGTCAAAATTTATGGCCAGCACAATAGTTCTGTAATATAAAAGCTGAACTTGTAATTTTGCTCTATATTTATAGTTATTAATAACTTTATATGTAATTATTAATGACTTTAAATAATAATTAATAATTAGAACCTATAATTAGTAAAAATTAATAATAACTAATAACTTTGGTCAGTATTTACCATACACATTTATTTTAATGCAGTTATTCGTATACTCATTAAACTATTGATGAGAATGTTCAACTTTCGAAATGCTGCACAAGTATGCAGACCAAAACCTATGGAGGTAACACAACTCTCTGAATATTCATGGTATAATACACCGTATGCAAAGGTAATTGGAATTTAACCCCATATTTACTCACAAATGTTTCATAAAATGTGTAATAATAATCACACGACAGGACTATCCACATAAAACAATGGTATATACCGTGTCTTCCGATGCAATCAGGATAGGGCAACTAACGACGTTGGTGGTCCCGTCGGGAAGCTAAATGCGTGGTTTTCAATAATGGCACATACTGTGATTTACCTTCTGCGCTGTTTCCCGCCGTTTAGTCCAGTCGCTATATCGGTCTCTCGGGCCATGAAACCGGTCAATGACGGTTTTACGCACGAAGTCACTGATGCAGTGGCTGAAAGCAACGTTGTGCCGAATGGCCTCTGCACGTCTTACAAATGACTTGTCTTAAACTTTTATCTTCCTCATCTTACTCGGACAACTTTCTCTATGACACCTAGAAAGGGCCACCGGGAATTTAGGACGCCGCCATTAACTTTCCGTATCTGCTCACATTTCCTTCCTTCGTGAGTCGTATCGCTTCCTAAGATCCCTCAACAGAAATGTCAGTTTTTCCAATTTTTCAGTTCATGCACCGTGCCATCACAGAATGCGCTTCGTCGACGCTCTTGGCGAAGCCTTCTATATTCGCCATATACTAGTAGTCTGGTCGCATCTCCCTTGCCCCCTCCTAGGATGGACTCTGATGAATGTAACCGATAGCATCTGGGTTCCTATCGCCTCGAGAATGGTTTTCAATTCGTCACTTATTTGCCTTATTCAAGGCCGCATACCTACCTCTCCTGCCTGACCCGCCTACTTATCCCTTCATGAATTCCATTATACAATGCCATATACAGCGACGATTTTCACAGTTCTAGACGTCATCTCCCGCATTTCGACCTCATGCGGTCTGTCGACGCTCACGGCGAAACCCTCATTATTCGCCGTCTACTAGTAGTTTGGTCGTACCTCGCTTCCCCACTCCTTGGCTGAGCTCGAAGCGTACTGTGGCCGATCGCGTCTGGGTTCCTCTCGTCTGGCCTCTTTGACGCGAATAGTCTCATTTGGCGTATCCCTTTTACCCCGATGATGTCAGTTCTGAATCGCGTATACAATGCCGCCTGCATGTCAGTCCTGTCCAACCCGCATACATACCCGTCAAGGCTGACATTTATATCTACCCAGACGATGTCCGATTTTAATTAATGTTGACATTTATTTTTGGCCTGACGATGTCCGGTTATAATCCGTTATATACCGCCACATGCAGGCCAGTCCTGCCCGCATTTTTCTGTTATTATTTTTTATTGAGGGGTTTTTTTCTCCAGTAAAATTAATCCAATTATTTTTAAATTTTTATGTGGAGTTTTTTTTCACCTCTCGCTAATAATTTTTCTTAACGGACTACTAATTCGGAAACTACGAATTGCATTTTGTAAAGATTCTGCCTACCTCGTCTAAAATTCGCATGTACTTTTTTTTTACTTGCTTCGATGGGACCCCGACGGGTCTTTAATAAAAATTATTATTATGTACAGCGTGCCTCCTACAAAGAACTGTTGGTCCGTGGAGCCAATTCAGCAGAAGCTGTTCACAGAGGCGGCCCGGGCATGGTAGATGGGGGATTATAGATAAACTTTTTCTTGTTCCGTCCTCCGACCACACTGAGTTTTTTATCCTTTAGCCATAGAGCGAAAGTTACCTTTCATATTTTCATGCAGTCTCTTACTGACCGCGAGAGTCGGCATTCAGCAATCGAACGAAGTCCTAGCACGCTTCTGAAGTGCTGATAGGCCGACGCAACTCACATGGCTTTTGACTTTTAGAAATACTTTGTGCGCATACTTGTGCACATTTTTCGATCATCGTCACCCTTTGTTGACGAGACTCGTAAAGGGCGGTGGCCTGATCTTGACCAATATGACCCATTTTTTACTAAATGGTTTAATTTAAAGTAAATGGAAAGCATTATTACTTTGTGAGACTGAATTCGTTTTGAACAGATACTGACAGCTGTCGTAATTCGTCCTGCCCTGGTGTAGTCTGTGAAAATATACTCCAGGGATCGGAGGAAGTAAGAGTGTTTTCATCGTTTCGTGGCCTACAAACTATAAAGTGAGGTATGATTACTGTAGTATCGGCGGCGCTGCTGGCCAAGTGTCTAACGGCCTTTAGCTTGTGTCGGTCACTGTGGCTCAAACTGTTCATCGTCGTTGTCGTCGTCATCTTCCTCAGATTCAGACGTTAGCCTGCAGCCAAATCTGTGATGGGTAAGATAATTTAGCACATCTACCTGGTTCTGGAGTCCCTCCCCGTTGTCGTGGGCTGTGACGTGGACAGGTCTGAGGTCTTTTCGGCCTTTTAGCCGCACAGCGGGACTTGTCTAAAGTGAGGTCGTCCTTCAACACCCCCACTGGATAAGTTGGAGTGTCAGGTGGAAACCGTTCGTTTTAATCTAACAAAGCTGTCCTCCGGCTGTTCGCCGTTGGCCACATAAAGCAGTCTTCGTTGTAAAACCATGCGTTGGTCACAATCGCAACCGTCTACTTATTTAAAAACTCAACAACTCCTTACATATGCGTGAAAATCAGCAGTATCCCTCGGGCATTGTACACATATCTTCATTGGAAAACGGTAACTAAAAAAGCGTCACGGTATAAAAAGTGTGTTTGAAAGGAGGATGAGGACAATTTCATCGTCAATACTAAAGGAAACATGATTATAGGTACATCGGTTAAATCAAGCAGAATCCAGCTTCTCCTGTTGAACCCCATCTCAATTGCTTCAAACAAATAAAAAAACACGAATCACTGGAAAAAATGTTTTCGAATCTACACTCGGAATGTAGCCAGTTGAGAAGCCGTCATATATGAAATCACACTAATTATTAGACGATATTTAGATGTAAACTTCAATAAAAACACAATTATTAGACGTTATTTTATGTCTAATTTCATATTTATTACGTTTTGGCATGAGAATATATTCAGTACATCTAAAAACAAAGTTTACTAAATTAGAGCCATTTCTGACTTTTTCGGGATATTGCGCATTTCAAAAGAAATCGGCATTTCTAAACAACGCAACATTGCCTTTAATATTTCTTTTATGTTTTTAATTCTTTTAAACTTGTACTTAATTAACATAGACACTGGACTCATAAAATGGTGTCAGTTTGCGAGTGATTGGCAATCATTCGTAAATTTCGACACATTTCATGAGTTAGGTCACTAACTGTAATAGTGTATATATACACGATTTTCGCCAATGTCTTTCAATTTCCCTTCTAAGGACACTTGTATCATTATTATTGAGCTCGTTAAAGTACACCCACTGAACGAGCTGTTACATGAACATACTGCATGCCGTCCCTTAAATGGACAGCCAAACTGGACTCTTTGCAAACAATCCCGCCACAGTCAAGTCAACATGTGAACATGTCCCTGTACTATTTAACAGCCTTTCGAGTCATTTCACCTTTCATTTACCGTCGCCCTTCATCGAACTCCATATTTCTAAACTCGCTCTTTAAGCCTTTTTTCGGATTGGCAGTCTCCTCTGTGATTTAGGTGTAAACGTATTGTGGCATCCTTTTTAGCCACTGTGGGCTGTTCGTCAGCTGGTTGTCCTACCTTAACTCTCCTCCAGTCTTCACATCGGCTCTCATCCCTTCGCGAATTTCGGCAGAAAAGAAACATGACATATGCGCTGAATACACGCAGGAAATATTTTATTCCCTTTCAAATCCTACACATTTACTTCTAAATGGATTAATGAAGATGGGCATTTTCAAACACGAGCCCAGAATTAATTAATAAGCCACGGTCGGACTCCATTCTACAATTCCTTTAAGGCCTTTGGCTGCGATCAGAGAGTATGAAGAACTTTTGACTTCGGTCGCTGAATAAATGACCCCTTCTCTGATATCATGCTATTTTTGTTGTGTTCTCCTTCCTCCGGTTTTAATTTTGGTTTTCTGGCTGCTGAGTTTGTTGCTTGGTTTTTTTAAACCTGCTTACGGTCTGTTTCTGTGATAGTTTGGTCGTAGTAAACGACAAAGCTCACCACAACCCCACAAGCTGAGCGCAGTAGTGCCTTTCATATAAGCTTGTTTCCGACAACTTGGAGTTCTCTGCCTGTGTTTCACTCTGTTTCTACCTGTCTGCTTGTTTCGTGTACGACCAGCTGGTCCGTGACCCCACACCTTCCGGGTTGTATTCAGGGGTCTCCAATCTCACGCAAGTTAGTTTGTCTTAAAGGCCACATTGAGAAGCAGCCACTGCGGCTTAGGTCTCATCCCTGAATAGGGCCGATTTATCGCGCCGTTCTTTCAACTACCACCGTTAACGGTTATAATTATAACCGTGATATAGTGCACTATGGTGCACCGCGCTAGCTTTACAGCACGTTCATCTGTTGGCAGAAACTTGTTTAAGTTCAAAAATATTTGATCATCGCAGGTTTAGCGCAGGCTAATCAAAGCCTTATACGGTGTGATGCTTATAAGCATTACACCCCAACTGAGGCCTGATAGATCTACCGTCTAGAAAGAATAACTATTTGACCCTTTCATCTATAGTGAAAAGTCGGCGTTCTTAGCATACAGTAGGTGACCTAACTCACGAAACATTAACTAAAATTCTGAAATATGGGTTCTATCTAAACAGATGGAATCTGAAAGGATTACTTTCTGTGGTTTCAATACTTGTGGGCATGCAGCATAATCCTAAAATATCTCCTAAGCATAATTATGCTTTAGGATTCTAGCTTTTCAATTCACGCCTTTCAGACCACCTACGAAACCACGTTCCTTAATAATGCCTACTTAAATAGTGCAACCCTCATCTATCGACTTCAGATACTTTAATAAGCTCTAACACCTTTCATAGAGGACCGAGATCATGTTTCATCATCTCGGCCGATGTTTCATGAGGTAACTTACCTATTGTACAACTTGGTCATGTCAGCGCAAGGACGAAATTTAAATTCGACGTTGCTTGGTTTTTGTAAAGCTCCTCTCTGGGGGTGACGACCTGACCGTGAAAGTCATCCTGCGAAAAAGTAAGCTGCATCCAAGGAACTCCCGCTCTCGTACCGCCTTCCCTCTTGTCTTCTGTATACGGGCTTTCGTCACTTCGAGTGCCCTCACAAAGTGTGATACAATAAAACATCGGAGCCCCCACTCAAATTGTCAAGTTCGTGAGCATTCTTGAAAAAAACATTCGTTCCGACTCGATTTGCATCTTTGCTTTGATGCCCATGAAAATTGAGCTTTTGTGTTCGCTTGATCTATTGAAGCTAGCATCATGATTCCAACCTCCTGCAAGGTTTAGCTGGTTCCGCGCAAATGTCATTTTTATGATCATATTAGGTAGCGCGTAACTGTCAAATCCTACATAGCCTCAGGTCGACATGCCCTAACAAATCTGGAAATGTAGGTCCCTGCTCGAGACCCGTCTGGAACGGAAATTTTTCACAAATTCGGGCCGAAGGGACTTTTTTCTTTTGCTATCCTAGAGACATCACCCGGAATTCTCTATTCATACCGCCAAATCCCAATGAAAAAGGTGTATGCTGGCGTAATAGATAAAACACTATCGTGGTTATCAAAGTCATCTGGTTCGAACCTTACCCTATCGCCGTTCCTCTGATGGCTTGCATCGTTTGGTGTTAAACCAAGGACTGTTATTCTTGTTGTCAATGTCGGTTAAATGAGGAAAGTCTATTTAACTCTGTTCGCCTCTGCCTGCTTTTTTATTACCCCTCTTTTCAATGCACTACCTTTCTAGCCTTGCATACTATCCATTTCTGCCGTAGAAAACCTCAGGGCTATATTAGGCGAACTTCAATGTTGTTTGCCTCCTTGTTCAAATCGAAATGTGTCGTTGAACATTTGCTGCATCGATTGAAATTTATCTTGAAAATGTTGGCTGTCTTGATCTCCGTGTCGCTCTCCCATGCATGCCATGTTCAGTTAAGGATATACACTGACTGTCAAGGAGGGACGAGAAATATATCAAAAACATACTGATAGACCATCCCAGTGTTACGGAAGGTCGGGGTCCTTTTCATTAACTATCTTGACTTATATAATGTTGCGGTGCTGCTGTAGAAACGGTGTTGTGACTCAGGTAGGTGTAAAAGCAGCTGGAACTCACTTGAAAAGTAATCCGCACGAAACAGTAATGACTACTATTTGGCTTTACGACAAAGTCTTTGAGCCGCTAGATGGATGGATGCTATCCTAGGTCACAATTTCTGTTGAACGGAAGGGGTTGTTGATTGATTGGATAAGCACAGCGTTCATCCGAATTTCTTAAAACCTCTAGAATCAGCTTTAAGTTAGTCTAACGTTAAAACTGCAAGTATATAAAACCGCAGTGAATTCAATCCTCTGAGAAGGTAAAATATGACCCACTTACTTAGAAGATCTCACTTTCGTAGATATATTCCACCTATTTTGCTTGCGCTCACTCCATTACCCAAATTCGACAACAAACGACTGTACAGTTCATCCTCTTTGTTCGGTGGTTGAACCATTTGCTGCGACAACTCGACGGTATAATCAGTCGGGATTTTGTCTCGCCCGCATCCGCTTCTGATCGGCAACGACGTCGAGAAAGCCAACTTAAGGACCTGGTGAAACCTGATCTGAGGATGATATCTGTCCCTGTGGTTTTCAGGACTGGCATGTCAACTGGTTCAACTTACCTCAAAAGTATGTCATCGACCGACTGTAGTGTAGGGCGTCCGTCGTGGTGTGGAGATAAAAACATGGTCTTTTCAGTCTTCTTGCCCTTGTTTTCGATTTTCGACTGCCGAGCGTTATGCTGCGACCAGGGCAAAACGGAACGCCCGTATTTTCCGTCATGTTGGATGAATAAACGCCCCTCGCATTGTAATTTGACTTCAATTTCGTTTTGTGGTGTGCCGTGCTTACCAAACGCTGTTTAGCGCCCTTTATATTCTCCCCTTTAGGATAAGACGACTTGTCTCCAAAGTATAGCGTACTCATGAACGGAAGTCTAGGTTCCACACAGTTTCCTCCTGCGACAGAGCGTACTTCTAACAACGTCTGTCTCAACTTCCTTACCGAAAAAGTGCGAGACTCAAGGTATATACTGTTTTATCATCTTTACAGTGCCCCAGCGTTCGTATTCTGGACCTGTGCTTCTTTCAGCCGGCAGTTATATTTTTAATATACCTGACTTTGAGTGCCTGTCATGCGGTCCGGCGGTTGTGGATTTCCCATAATCTTATCGTTTGGGTCACTTACATCGCAGTAATAGTTGATCTATGAGACCTTACATGCTTGTTTGAAAGACTTTCTCAGCTGCAGTCATAAACTGTATCCGCCCTATTGTCAATGTCCTACTTCATTCCTATGGCATATCTTCAGAGATTCCCGATAAGGTGAGTTAGACTGCTAATAAATATACTTTAGATTCTCTGGGTCCTTTTAAGATTTATACTTCTGTCAACTGAATTATCGCTGTTCTCTGCCGGGTGTGTTAACTGTAAGTCATTCAGTAGGTTACTCTTGCTTTCTCCCATCACCGTAAATGTGTTAAGCTAACTCCGTTGATCTGTAGTCATCCTGTCCTAATTTCAAGTTTTTTTTTAGCTCGGCGTTACAAGAGACTTAGCGACAAGTCGATCATTGTCTTGTCGATAACGGTCTCTTTACTTCATGGGCTCATTCAAGGATGCGTGGACCTAACGTCCGTTTCTTCATCTGACGTTGAGTATATCCTGGGCTTCGGTGGCATTCACCTCGCAATTTGTACATCAGCTGTCTGCTTCTTGGTGAGGACGTTTTCTGACCTTTGAGTCACTACTATCTATAATGTCGCGCCTTTCAGTACGATCTTCTTCTTTAATTGCAAGTAGTGTTATTTGACGGTGCTCATTTGTCTACACAGTTATTTTTTACTGAGACTAGAAGGGTATTCAAGGCTTGAAGTCCGCCACTCAAGCCGGATGAACCAGTCAACTTTCTTACACGACCCATCATACCTCAACAGTTTTTTTCGTACTTTCGGACTCAACGAACCCACTTGTTTGGGGGAGAGGGGAAAGCGGGAGGTGGGCTGACCTCTGGTTTAGTCATGCTGCATGATTTATCATACTGACAGCACAGCCCAGACATGTGTTTGGCCTCTTTTCTGCTGCCGCATAACGCAGCTGCGAGGAGTTCGGCCTATTGGTGCGTTTTAATTCTAGCTTGGTGTCATCAACCAGCTCAGCCCATCAGGTCTAGGCCTACTGCAACGTCTGGAATCCATGTAATCTGGCACAGCTAACTGACTGCCCTAGCAAGATTTCCTAATTAATCCACCCAGAATTCACCAGATAACTGCCAAAGCTCACGTAATTAATAGGTGTCTTGACTGATTTTGAATAATTCGTTTTGACCCAACTTTATCAGACTTGGCGGATTCCAGACGTAGTACGGGTAACTTGACCCAAATGTGATTAAACTCATGGCTATTGGTGCGGCTTCGTAGAGCAAGTAGCTAGAGCGTTGGCTGTTGTGCGTTCGACTACCGCCGAGGTCGCTGGGTTTTTCACAGTTGGGTCAAAATGACTTATTTAACATCTGCCGAAACACATACTATTTAGAATACTTCAAAGTGATACGCAGCTACCCTTGCCATTACTACTTGCCACTTACTCGTTACTTCTTCCTAATGGGTCTTTTTATAAGAGGTTAATGTTCACCCAATTCTCCTCGAGTCTTTAGAACCTTGATTTCTCCAAACGGCTTTTCAGCCTCCGACTTTGGCCTGTCCTCATTCTGCGTCTCTCAGTTATTCCCTGTGTCACCTATCGTGTCCGTGGGTAGGAAAACGAGGTTAACGACACCTTGTCAGGACTCGAGATTGATGTCATCAAACAGCCCAGCCCATCAAGTCTAGACCTACTGCGACGTCTGGGACGTGTCCTCATTCTGAGTCTCCCAGTTATTCCCTGGCCTCCTTACTGGTTTTCCGTTGTTTCGAATGTCACTAGACTTGTTTCAGCCTTAGACTTTCTAACTGTTAGATGCTGTAGGTGACATTGATGCACCCACTTTAACTCAGTGTATTTACTGTATTCTTATCTCTGATAATTAACACCTCAGTACATGCATTTCAGCTCTACCTCTACCTCCTGATCATGTTGACGATGCGGAGAAATCTGTTCTTTAATCTACCTGGTACGTACTGCTTGACTTATAGGTCATGACTGGGATGTCTTTTAACATTGGTGATTTTGCCTTGTTTTTCCTTGAATTCCCGATTGCACTGGCAAACCTTTATCCGCAGAACGTCGTCGTCTCATATTGCCAGAGTAATCCGTCACAATGGTCTTTAGGGATGCACCTTTCCGTCATAAGGGGTACTGACCTAGTTGTCCCGATCGTATTACGTAGTGTAGAAATGCCAAATATTTTCGCACTGAGTACGGTAGGCGTAAGATTTGCCGTCCTTTTTCAAGTTTTGGAAAAGGAGCAGATCTTTATCGTTCATATTTTTAAATTGTCAAACATGAACCCCTTAGCACTACCAGTATATAGCTCTTATCACAGAAACGTAATGATGAGTTGTTGTTCAGACCACTGTTATGTTGAGATGCGAGTCTATTACGCTTATATAGTCCGACCATCTACGTCTTGAGATCTCCACGCCTTCACATGTTAATTTACGAGTGCTCGCCTAAGGCTGCGAACTAAATTGACGCAAAAGCATGGCTCACCTTCTCTGACCTCCCTTTCCATGGTAAAGTGTTGCCTGTGACAGGCGTGAGCACGCGTCAGTTGTAGTGCTTTGTTGTTGAAAGTCTGCGAAAAGCTCTGCAGGCAAATGAGCACTCTTAAGGCACCATATATCCCAGAGCTTACAAAAAGTTTGACAGTTTTTACATTGTCATCTTAACTGAAAACAAGGGACATAAAATAGAAAACTGCCGATAATATTAAGCCTACCGTGCCAGAAAATGACTGCTTAGCTGTGTGCGTTTTCGAATCTCGTATCACAAACTCAACGACCTATTAAAGCAAAACCGAAACATCCGGTTTCATCTACTATACTTCCAAAATAACATTTTATATTAACTGCTTTTAACACAGGCCTTTAAATGTGTCTACTTCTGAGAGCAATTTTGTTTCCGCAAGCTCTTCACTGAAATGTGTGATCGCATGTCGGTCTTTAGAAAAGTCACTTTGATTTTCAGCATTTTTTCAGCCAGCCGTAGGCGAGCTCAGCAGGGCACTGGAACGCACAAAGAAACAGAAATTGTAGTGTTATTAACAGTCAAGAGACGAAGGGATAATTGCTACACAAGCATTTGTTTTGGCATCCTCAGTGATCGAAAGGGTAGCCTGAATCACTTCCGGCTAACAGAGGAACGGCGGTTTCTCTGCCTAATTTCCTTTCCCCAGATCGAAACTGACCACCCCTCATTTTCGACTTCACAATTTACATATTACTCGCTTTTGGGTTAGTAGACAATAAGTCTGTACATTAATGACCCGTTCTCAATCCCCTCGTTACTTCAGCATCCACAGCTGACGGCGGGCTATTTCTCGCAGACACACTAATTTTATCCTCACCTCATAAGGCTGCAATAATTTAGTCCTCTTATGAATGCAACATAAAATTGCCCGTTAGACAGAAATTGGAGCTAGAGGCTACTTGACAGAGATCGAAATTGTGCTTCCGAATAGAAAATAATTACTAGAGCTTCAACGCTGGCACACAAAGGACTGTGTGGTGAAATTACCCGTACCCGACTGCACATTAGATTGCTTGTGAACAATTCCCATGCCTTTGACGATCCTACTGAACTAAAGTGACCGCTTAAACAACGTTTGCTTTTTCGCCACCTGTCCCTGCGTACATAAAAAGAAGTGGTTTTTTCCCCACAAAATGCTTATGCAAAGTTCATGTCACATTTGAAGGTTCTACCGCATGTCTCTGTTTTAGTTGTTAAACCTCTCTGGAGACTGACGCGTGCACAGTTCTCAGGTCGTGGTGGCATACCACAAGTGCGTTGGGGGGAGGGGGGGCGTCAACACAATTCTGTAATATAAAATAAGATCAAAACCAGTTCTGGCGTTTTCTTTCGAAGTTGCTAGTTAATTTAAGATAAGCGTTTAATTATTTCGATTACTAGCAAGTAGACACTCGAAGCAACTCACCATCCTGTTAAGGTCATTCTCTGTTTCTTTTGCTTAATCCCATTTTAGAGTATGGTGGCTGCCATTTAATGAAGTATATTCTTATCTTTGCTTTAAACTAGTCTAAGTCTGACCGTTACTGAACATGTTAGCCATAAGTACGCACCTGTTAGAAGACAGCATTTCGTATCCATGGGATTTCAAAAGGGAACTTGGTGACTTTAAGGGAATGACTGTTGTCTAGGAACAACATTTAATTATTCTTTAAACTCTTATAACCGCCTATGTCATAAAAAGTCCGCTTGCTATCTGTGAAAGACGTTTCTTCCAGACTACTTGCGGTATTTTGATGAGGTAGATTGTTGCTAACTTTTTATATACCCCTGCCTTCAATTTTAGCCTACTTCCACTTGACGAGGGCGTCGGTATATGTCTACTGCCTGTTCCTTCTGGCTGTTTATTCTCCATCTCTGTTTGGTGGAATCGCTTTTGTCGCCGGACAAACAAACGGTCTTTGGTTAGTTCCCCCCTTCCCCCCCCTTATTTACAGTGGTGGTTACTAGCCATCAAAAGGTGGACAGTGTTTACGCAGAAGGATCTGAGAGAAGGGCGGACGATACTAACCG